TGATTCTACAAATAAGTGAAATCACATGGTATTTGTCTTTCTCTGTCTGACTTATTTCACTTAGCATAATATCCTCAAGGTCCATCCATGTTGTTGCAAATGGCAAAAATTCATTCTTTTATAGCTGAATAGTATTCCAGTGTGTGTGTGTGTGTGTGTGTGTGTGAGACATCTTCTTTATCCCTTCATCTATTGTTGGACACTTAGGTTATTTCCATACCTGGGTATTTATACCAAGAAAACAAAAACACTAATTCAAAAAGGTATATGCACCCAATGTTCATTGAAGCATTATGTAACTAGCATTTTATTGGAAAAGCAGCACCATTGCCTTCAGTGACCAAGTTGTGGGTGTGGGTATACATGTAAGAAAGTGAGATAGACAAAGCACAAGCCTCAGATTGGCATAAAGGACCTTGACATCTAAAGACCAAACCAATATGTAGTGGGGGTGGGGAATGGAGAAAGATATACCAACATAGTACCAGCTGTTTGAGTCACAAAGGCCTCCAAACACTGCTATGACAACAGAAGAGAACAAATCACATCTGTGTTAAGAGAATGGAAATCCAGCAAAGTAAGTAAATGTTGCCCCCAAGAGGGAGAAAAGAAATATTTAGATAATAAACATCCCCTGACAGCCAAAAGGACAAGGTTAAAACCTAATCCTGTCCCTAAGCTTCCCCTTAAGCCTAAATAGGAATTTGGGCTTATATTTTACTAAGCTCAACCTTAATAACCATGCTGAAACTCCAGTGGCTATTCTTTCAAGCTTCTTTGATAAAAGTAGTTTCCATAAGAATAAGGGGAACAGGAAATGTTAGGAAGGAAGCTGGTTTGTTTTTCTGAGACCATTTGTTTTTCTAACATACCTATGATCCTTGAGCTCAAGGGATCCATAATTCAGGCAATTCTTCAGTCTGCAGAGCTTAGTCCTACTCCCAATACTAACTGGGAAGTCCCCTGACTTCCCCTTAGCTATAGGGATATTGATTTTCCCCAGGAGGGCAACATTTAGCAGACATTAGCCAGCATCTGCCAGTGAGACAGTAAAAAGCCTGGTTGACAGACAGGTTGGGTATACTTTGAACTGTTTTCCATGTTAATAGTGAGGCACACCAGACTCTTAGATGGGTGTTGAAGCTGAGGTCTTATGGTAGAAACACAGGATAGAGATGATTTTGTAGAGATCTCTTAAACCAGAGGTTTGCAAACTGGCCCATGTGACCCTTTGCCTGTGGCTTGGTTTTACAGTTTTAAAAGTGTGTGCAGAAAAAAGAGAAGAAGCGTAGAAGGCAGAGCCCAGATACAGCCCACACAGTCCAAATTACTTACTCTCTGGCTCTTTACAGAAGTTCTTCAACCCCTGTCCTAGACAAAGGCCCTGTCAGAGACAAATCTATGAGGGGTGGAGCAGATGAGCTATAAGCTTATGAATGACATGCGCATTATATGTGGACGTTCAGATCAGTGTTCTGAAGAGAGTCAAAGTGTCTTACTTTCTAATCCCTTTATAGACTTCGGACTCAGGATTTGGGGAAGCAGGTATACAGCTTTGAGACACAACACCTGTTTTGGGGATGCACTTTTTGTTCCTTAGCACAGCCATAGAATAAACCACATAATTTTACACTCTTGCCGTTGCATCCCCTAGGTGATCAGGTCATATCGTTAACAAAGCTGTGTGTGTTTGTGTGCATTTCCTCACAAGTTTTTCTTATTTTACTCAGGGGCTTCCTGGCCAGAAAGGCTCTAAAGGTGAACCTGTCCTTGCCCAAAGTAGTTTCAAAGGAATAAAGGTAAGAGCCTCTAAGGCAGACCGCTAACTAGGCTGGCTATAAGCTGAGCTTCCTGGGATTGGGCCCCACCTCCAATAAAAACATTTCTAGAACTAGCATCTGTGTCTCTAAGGAGCAGATCAAGCTAGATTTAAAAGGGATCTGGAGCTTTTTGTGGTGGAAACACTGACAGAAATGTTTGCAACCATACCGTCAAAGAGATTTGCTTTGTAAGATCTAGACCAAAAATAGGAGACAGATCAGCAAACAAACGGTTTGCATGGGTATCATTTTCTTTGACAAGCCAAGACATTTCCTGGAGACAGATACTTTTTGTCTACTCTGCAATCCTTGATGTCTGCATGCCTTGGTATGAAGCCATGCATATCTCTGCCCATCTCAGCATGGCCACCAGCCCAGGATCCTGGCCCCGCCCTTTTCTGTACCTGCACACCAGCCCATCCCTAGCTGGGCCCCTGGCTGTCTGCAAAAATTGCCCATCAACTCTGCAGCTGGCTGGAAAACTTTCATCTCTTCCTAGAATTGACAAGAACCTTCTGTATTCTTGTGACTGTACTCTTGATGTATGCTACCTGGTATCCTGTGGGCCCCTCAGTAAACTCTGGTGCCAAATGATTGACCCTATTCCCTTGCAGAGTAGGAGGTGAGCTTATCATTTCCCTGGTAGCAGATGGGTATCTATGTGCCCAACATATGAAGGGAAGATGCACACATGTTCACTCAGCTGAAGATGGCACCTTCCTGTCTTCCATCCGTGCACAGAATCAGGAACATTAGACATCATTTTGGAAGGCAGTGATTGGGGTGGGTGGCCGAGAACTGGAGAAGGCACAGGGTTTGGGCTCTTGGCTTAGGTTCCACAGCAGAAGATAGAATGGTAGACGTGGAAAGGACCTCATGATTGTTGGATTCATGTTGCTCATTTTACAGATAGAAAAACTGAGGTACACTGAGGCTGTGTGACTTCCTCAGACTCACATAGCTAGTTTACCGAAGAGCTAAAACCCAGGCAGTGCTCTTTCTGTGCTGCAGAGAGCTGATTTTTGACTGTACGCCAAATGGGGTAAGACTAGCAGGTGTCAAAATATGGCCATTGTCGTAGCAAGCACTGATTAAATGGTTTTGCCAAAAATCAAAGAGACCCTGGACCCAGTGGAATACAGCAATTTCCACAAGATGGTTATATTACAGATTCATACAGTGACTTAAGATGCTGCAAAGTAATTAAAACGTAATCAGAGACTGTATGCTCTGTTGATTCTCCCTTGAAATGTCTGATTTGCATTGTATACATATGGGCACAGATTCTCTGGGGATGAAGGCACACGGGAAGGTAGCTTTGCTTTCTTCCAGAAAGAGCAGGAAAATCACCAGCCCACAGAAGCCGTTTCTAATTGATAAGTTTCTAGCAAAGGTGAAAATTAATTAATCCAAGTAAAATATTAAACCCTGTTCAACCAAGGCTATAATGTTTGTCTTCTAGAGTCTGGATTTTTCTTAGGAAAAAAAAAAGTAAGTGGCTGAATATGTCCAATTCATGCATTATTTAAAACACAAGACCTTGACAGAGGAGGCCCAAGCATCAGCAGTGTTGTGTTTCTCCCCGTGAAGTGTGGGTTAGTTATCTATGAAATAATACCACAGCTTTAATGGATCTCTTCAGTGTCCTGCCTTTGTCTGTTTTTCAGGGGGAGCCTGGACTGCCTGGACTGGATGGAATCACTGTAAGTTGTTATATATGTGTGGAGCTCTCAATGTTGAGTCAATAGCTACTGCTGGTCCCTTTGCATTCTTTATGGTATTCAAAGGTCTTTGGAGACATTCTCAAGGAAAATCCAGACAGTTGAGGTAGAGCGGATCACACTGTTGACATTTTCCAGGTGAGAACATTCTGAGAGAGTAGACCATCCCCCTCAAGTTAACACGACAGGCAAGCTTTCAACCCTTTAGGCCAGGGACCTGCAAACTCCCTGAGATGTATTAGGAAAGAATTTTGCCTTTCATTCAGCAACTGTTTACTGTTTTCTGTGTGTGTCAACTGTTGTGGGTAAAACAAAACAAGTAGAACACTCTTCTTTAGAAGCTATTCCATATAGGGGTGCCTGGGTGGCTCAGTCGGTTAAGCATCTGACTTCGGCTCAGGTCATGTTCTTGGGGTTCACGAGTTTGAGCCCCGCATCAGGCTCCATGCTGACAGCCTAGAGCCTGGAGGCTGCTTCGGATTCTGTGTCTCCCTTTATCTCTGTCTCCCCACCCTATTCATGCTCTGTCTCTCTCTCTCTCCAAACTAAAGAAACATTTTAAAAAAATTTAGAAGTTATTCCATATAGAAATTCCTTTCAGGGACTTTTAATAAAATAGGGAGTCCATGAGGAGCCATGAGTTGTATTAATAAGAGCTTTCTACTTCCTCGAATTGCCACATTGTCATTGCTTTCCTTTGAAGTGGCTTAAGAAAAGCCACATCTTTCTTCCTTCTTTCCTATATGAGGGTTCCTTCCTTTCTTCTTTTCATTCGAGAACAGGTATTGAGCTCCCACTAGCAGCAAAGTGGTAGGAGTGATCCCTGAGACAGTGTAGACATGATCTTTGCCCATGCCCAACCTACCCCATCCCCCACACACCCAGATGTGAAAAACTAGTAGGACTGGGGCATAAGAATTCCACAACAGCTTTGAGAAAGAGATGCTGTCCACCTAAAGATACATCATGGGAGACTTCATATCTTCATATCTAAGACAAAGAAGATAGCCTCATAGAAGTGTGGGTAATGTTTAGGCTGGCTGGCAATGGGAGGAAGCTTCCTAAACAGAGAGAGGAGTGTGAGAAGAGGTAGGTAGGCAGGAAACGGGATGCAATACAAGCACACATGCAAAACAGAGGTGAAGTAAAGATCAAGCACACACAGATCCCCTAGTGCCAAACAGCACTGGCTTAGATGGTGTGTTAACTACATTTGTACAATCACATCCACTGTGGTAGCTGCATAGGTCTTCTTAGGAATTCATTTCTCTGTCCACAAAGGTAAAGTGTTCGCCTACATACACAGGCATGATAAATACATCACTTAGATTTGGGGATGATGGTTTGGTGGCTGAATAAGAGATTTGTGGTCAGTAAGGAGACCACAGGTTATTAATTTTATCAAGGCAATGTTCTATTTCCTGGGGAACCTCTGAACTCCGACTTTCTCTTGACTTCACTTAGCCCCTCCATCCCTTACATATCACCTTATTACCATCCCCAGCCTTAATTGAGCCATACTTTGCCCCATGCCGTCTTTCTCTTCAGATTTTGTTGTCTGCCTTGTAATATTGTTGTTATCAATTCAGTTCCACGTATTTTCTTGTTTCTCTTCTGTTTTTTTCTTTGACCCACGGAAATGTGTGTTGTTTAATTTCTCGGTATTTGGCAACTTCCCAGCTATCTTTACATGGCTGATTTCTAGTTTGATGTCATTGCACTTAGAGTGAACACTTCGTATGATTTCAATCCTTTTAAATCTGTTGACATTTGTTTCGTGGCTCAGCATATGGAACAATCTTGGTGAATGTGCCATATGTACTTAGAGTATGTGTTCAAGCTGTTTTGGGGTATAGCAATCTAAAAAATGTCCATTAGGTCATTAGGTAGCTGACAATCCTATTTCAATCTACTGGGTCCTTACTGGGTTTGTTTGTTTGTTTGTTTGTTTTGGGGTTTTTTGTTTGGTTTGGTTTTCTCTAGTTCTGTTTATTACTGAGGAAGGGATGTTAAAATTCTCCAGATATCTTTGCAGATTTGTTTATTTCTCCATGCAGTTCTGCCAGATTTTGCTACATGCCTTTTGAAGCTGTGCTATTAGATGCATATACATCTAAGATTATTATGTGTTCTTGATCAATTGACCTAGTTTACCATTGCAAAATGTCCCCTCTTTATCTCTGGTAATATTCTTTGTCCCAAAGTCTACTTTATTTTATATTGACATAACTGTTTTCATGTTCTTTTTAAGTTTTTTTACATCACTTTAATATAAAAATTGTCAAATATTGAGCAAAGATGAATGAATTTTGCAGTGAACATCCATACCATTAATATTTTACTATACTTGCTTTATCCCACGTCAATCTATCTATCCATCCTTATCCATCCATCAATCCATCTTATTGTCAATGCATTTCAAAGTAAATTGCAGACAATAGTACTCTTACCCCTAAATGCTACAGCATGCCTATCATTACCTAGGCTTCAAAATGTGTTTGCATCTTTTCTTTTTATGTAAAAGTTACATACAATGAAATACACAAATCTTAAATGTATACTTGCTGAGTTCTGACAAATATATACTCCTATGTAACCCAAAGCCATCTTAAGGTATAGAACATTGTCATCACCTCAGAAAGTTTCCTTCTGCTCCTTCCCAGTCAATTCCTGCCTCCACCCAAAGGAAACCACTGTTTTGATTTCTCTCCATCATAGTTCAGTTTTTCCCATTCTAGAACTTTATATAAAGGGAATGATATAATATATAAGCTTTGGGAGTCTGGGCTTCTTTCACTTAGCACAATGCTTTTGATATTTATCCACATTGTATCATATATCAGTAGGTTGTTGCTTTTTATGGTGAGTATTTATTCCACTGTATAGATGCATCACAGTTATTTATCAGTCCTTGTATCAATGGACACCTGGGACATTTCCAATTTTTTTACAATGAATAAAGTTCCCGTGAACATTCTTGTGCAATTCTTGTGGACACATATTTCCAATTTTCTCGAGAAACTGTCTTCTTTTTGACCTTGGGGTAAAAACTTGTGTCTTCAGGGCCCACAGGGAGCACCCGGACCTCCAGGAGCTGTAGGACCCATGGGACTACCAGGATTGCAAGTAAGACCAACCTAAATCTACCCATGTGATCACAGTATTCACAGGGATGCTTCCCCACCACGGCCATGAATTAAATAGAAGCCTATATAGGCTCTCCTAGTGGAAATTCTCCAGCTTATATAGGCTCTCCTCCTCCTTCCATTCTTGGAGGATTAACGTGAAGCATGCTTCTGTAAGGAGCTATTTGTTGTCTCTGTCGGGGTCTTTCTGCCTATCCACTGTGTGCTTCCAAAGCCTCCTACTCTAGCTGAACCTAAAGTATGGCCCAGGAGCATAACTGGCACATCTGTTGCCTGTTTCCACTCCCCTCACTCATGACAGACCTTGCCAATTAATCACATGATCACCACCATCACTCACCCTGGTCACAAAAGAAGCTTCAAAATCCTTCTCCACACTGCAACTTGGACAGTGCTACCTACTTACCTGTCTTTCTGATACCAAACCTGTTTGCCTTCACTGGTATAGAAAAAGCATATAGCCAGTTATCCATGTGGTTCTGGGAAAGGCCCATCCCCAGATTGTTCTTTCTCCACAGTGCATGAAATCTCACCACTGATTACTTTGGTTTAGCTTCACCAAAAGCTATTATTTTTAAATTTCTGGCCATTTGGGAGGAATTATGCACGAGTCTTTACCACCTTAGCATAAATATGATTATCAGGCCAATTTGGGAGATTTCAAAGGAGATTAAAAAAAAAAAAAGAACCATGGGAGAAGGAGCTAGAATCTGCTCCACTAAAGCCAGAATATACTGTGAGGAGGAGGGGCACCTGGGTGGCTCAGTCGGTTAAACCTCCAACTTCAGCTCAGGCCATGATCTCGCAGCTTGTGAGTTCAAGCCCTGCATCAGGCTCTGTGCTGACAGCTTAGAGCCCGGACCCTCCTTCAAATTCTGTTTCCACCTCTCTCTGCACCACCCCTGGTTGCACATTTTCTCTCTCTCTCTGTCTCTAATATAAATAAACATCAAAAAAAAAAAAAAGAATATACTGTGGGGGCCTCATCTCTAGTGACTCCCAACATGCTCAGACTCTTTTTGCCTGAAACTAACAAGTGCTCTTTCCTTACATTTTTTAATATAGGGTCCTCCAGGTCCTCCCGGTTTCCCTGGTCCTGATGTAAGTATACTTTGTCTTGGGGCATTTGGCCTCCTACCACTAAGTACTCTAGTTTCCCCAGAGATATTCTGGTTTGGTTAAACACACTTTCTGGTAAAAAAGAATGCATTCCAATTTAAGTTCCTAGAGCTTGTTTAGTAATTGATTTTGTTTTTCCTCCCTGCAACCCTGTGCCCCAGGGGAATATGGGGTTAGGTTTCCAAGGAGAGAAAGGAGTCAAGGTAAATAGATTTTGGAAAATACAATGTGCATTCCATATGCTCCAAGAAACATCTCTGGCTGCACACATGTGCCTGCTTGTGTTTTAAAGGGATTTGGACTTTTGCCTTGGGAAATGAGCATTTCCCACTCCACATGGATCCTCTGGTGGGATCTGTGGAGGGCTGCATGTGCACATGCCACACATAGGTTCCTGTGGTCTTTTTCCTTCAAAATATTGTAGTCTTCCTGCTTCCTACTTGTGAAGTGTGTATATCTTACAAACATACTGTCTTGAAATAGATTCCATCTTCCTTCCACCTGGGTATTTCCCTGGTATTTTGTATATTGTCTCACCTTCTCTTTCCTTTCCTTTGCTTCCCCTCTTCCCTCCATCCTTCCTCTTCCTCCTCCTTCTTCTCCTCCCGTCTCCCTTTCTATCCCCTCCTTAACCTCTCTTTCACCACTCTCTTCTATCCCCCTTCCCTCATTCTCCTGTTTCCTTCTGCACAAACTGGACAGTGATTTGGGAGCCTCAAGGGAGACTAGAGCTTGTCCTCTCCACCCTTCATGGCTGCCTCTTGTAGATTGCACTGCCTTCAAGGAGCAAATACAGCCTCCAGTGTTCCAACACAGACTGCCTCTGCTTGTGCTGTTGGCAAGGACTAGACCAGTTATAGTCCAATCACCATTGCTGAGAGGTGGCCATTCACCTTGCTCAAAACGCTTTTTTGCTCTCTTCTAAACACCCTTTGATGCATGACCATAGCAACTATAAACTTGGGTTTCCTTTCATTCATCTTGCTTCTTCCCTCTGCAGTGCTGGTACAAAATGCATTTGTTCAGGCTTATACTTCTTCCCACCCCTTGGCACTGATAGTTTTGTTGCCTCACTGATGCAAGGGTGAGGGTAAAGAGGCCAAAGTAATGGAGAGCTTATTTGTGAATTACATCCAGAAGACAAACCTAGCCTCTGAAGTGGTCCGTGTGGTTTCTGCTTTGCTTAACATTCCCTTTGATCTTACAGGGGGATGTTGGCCGCCCAGGCCCTGCAGGACCCCCACCATCTACTGGAGAACTGGAATTTATGGGATTTCCCAAAGGGAAGAAAGGATCCAAGGTAGTGAATATTTAAGCCCAGGAAATGTTAATAATCCTTTTCCTATTAATACCAAAGTTCAACTGTAATAACGAGGCTATATTGGAAAGATATTCTGGGTAATGCTTTTTTGTTTGGAAGTGAGGGTAAAGCCTTCTTTGTTTTGTCCCTTGCAAAAAGCTCTGTAAAATGTCTGTGTGTTGGTGTGTGGCTATGAGTGGGCCTGGGCTCCTGAATATTTATTTAAGTCCTATTTTCTGTGTTTTGCTTTTTCAAATTCAATTATCAAGATGCTGAATAACTTAAAACAAACATTAAATAATTGGTTTTTTTTGTCCTAACTCCCAACCCTCTCAATACTTATGTTGTCCCCAAAGCACTATGACAGAACACATAGGGTATAAATGGTTGCTTTTAAATTATCTTTTTAAAGAAGTTATTTGCCCTCAAAACCTGACCTTACAAATAGAATATACTGTCACTAAGAGGCAGTAGATGCCCTAATTCACCTGATCTGAACTACCAAGGCTAAAGTTGTTAGACCTGTTTAACTGAGATATGTTATAATCTCTATTTCGATGTGAGTGGGTGTGTATTTGAATGCCTGTTGCTGTTAAGGTATGCAGGTATCTTTCAGTAACCTGCATTTCCTTCCTTCCTTCCTTCCTCCCTGGGGTTCCCTTAAGTTTTGTGACCCTGCTCCTGTGGTCAAGGGGCCCAGTCAAGGGAAGGTGCTTACTTCCATGTCTTTAATTTTGTCTTTGAGAAAGCAATAGCTCCAGGCCCTCTTCAGGTTTACAGAAAGTAATAATTAATTTGGGAACACTTTGGGAACATATGAAAGATCACCTGCCTCCCTGATCATTCCCAAACCTTAGGGAGCCCTTTCATGGCACAAATAAGTAAATTAGCATATCAGGGAAAAACAAATTAGAGTGTTATGGGTCCCTATCCAAACTGTAGTTGTTACTTTTTTCTCCAAACCATTGATTTCTTTGCAACCTATAATTTGTAACAGGAAATCACACTGAACAGCTCTTCCACTAGGAAAATAACAGATGACTGTCTTTTCTGTCTCCCAATTAGCCTCAACATTTGAGATTCTGTTTTAGACAGTTTCCATTCCCTGCCGTGGGCCTTGGTCCTTCCCACACCACAAGGGCTCCCTAAGCTGATATCCTGCCACAGTTATTAGTTGGGAATCCTGGGGAATTTACACCACCTGATACCCCATTGGTTCCCCACTGCTCATCCCATGCAGCTCAATGGAGCCATGTCCTTTGTGTTCACTGTTTCCTGCTGTTACTCACTAATCTTTGGTTGATTTTTCAGGGTGAACCAGGGCTTCCAGGTTTACCAGGAATAAGTGGCCCTCCAGGTCTCCCGGTAAGTCTCCCTGTTTGGTCAACATGCATTTAAGGACCTGATTGGACAAGAACTATAGCAATAGAAGGCTAACAGGAAGACCCCTTCCTGTGGTTATTGTAGACAATTCTATCATCTTCATTGTTAGAAGGCATTTAAGGAAATATTCTTGTTTCTCAAACCTATGGAGACATTAGCATGGTTCTTCATGAAGCCATAGATCTTAGCAGTTATTAGCTCAAGCTCTAGAATTAAAACAGACCGGGGCGCCTGGGTGGCGCAGTCGGTTAAGTGTCCGACTTCAGCCAGGTCACGATCTCGCGGTCCGTGAGTTCGAGCCCCGCGTCGGGCTCTGGGCTGATGGCTCGGAGCCTGGAGCCTGTTTCCGATTCTGTGTCTCCCTCTCTCTCTGCCCCTCCCCCATTCATGCTCTGTCTCTCTCTGTCCCCAAAATAAATAAACGTTGAAAAAAAAAATTAAAAAAAAAAATTAAAAAAAAAAAAAAAAAAAAAAAAAAAAAAAAAAAACAGACCTAGGCTTGACTTTTGGTCTCACTAATTTCTACCTTTGTGAACTTGGACAATTTTCTTAACTTATCTGAGTTCCAGTTTTCCTCAAAAAACGGGGGGGTGGGGGGCGGTGATAATGGTGTAGTTATGAGGATTATGTGAGATAAATGCATGAAAAGGACTTAGTACCTGCCTGGCACATATCAATTGTTCAGTAAATGGTAGTTACTCTTAGTAGCCCAATCTTCACTCCACTATCTGCCCTTATACCTTAGAGTCTTTCCCTCAACTTATACCTTTTGAGGGGCCCTATGTTCCAGGCATTCTGCTAGACATTAGTAAATAACAGTCAAATAAGTAAAAGTCCTTGTCCTTGAGGAGAGTACATTCTAATGGGGGAGTGAGGGAAGATACAGACACTAAACAAGTAAACAAATGTATCAAGGACAAGTTCATATAGTAGCAAGTGATACATAGAAGATAATAAAAAAGGGTAAAGTGATGGAATGTGGATTGAGAAAAGGAGTGGGCTACTTTGGGCAGAGTGGTCATGAAGGGCCTTTCTGAGGTGGAGAAGTGAGTCAATGAAGATCAGCAAGAGTGTTTTTGGTAAGTGCCAAGACCCTGAGGTTGGCAAAACTTCACTGCTTGTGAGGAACAGCAAAAAAGTGAGTGTGTGGAACAGAGTCAGCAAAGGCAAGAACCAGGGAGATAGGCAAGAACCAGGGAGATAGGCAAGAGCCAGACCCTTTGTAGGTCGAATGTGGCTTTTGTGTTAAATGAAATAGGAAGCCATCAGAAGGCTCTGACTTACATTTAAAAATTTTTTTTCAATGTATATTTATTTTTGACAGAGAGAGACAGAGCATGAGTAGGGGAGGGGCAGAGAGAGAAGGAGACACAGAATCCAAAGCAGGCTCCAGGCCCTGAGCTGTCAGGACAGGCCCTGAGCTATCAGAACAGAACCCAACACAGGGCTCGAACTCACAGACTGCAAGAGCATGACCCGAGCCAATGTCAGAGGCTTAACTGACTGAGCCACCCAGGCACCCTGGCTCTGACTTACATTTTAAAGAAGATCACTCTGACAGGGGTGGGGGTGGGGTGTGGAGGATGAGGGGAGGCTGAGGCAGCAAATAGAGGCTACTGCACCAATCCAGGGGAAAGATGGTAGTAGTTTACACTAGGATGATAGCAATGAAAATGGAGAGAAGTGCATGGATTCGAAATGTAAAAAGTGTAGACTTGTTATTATGGAACATTTTAAACATACACCAAGTGGAGAAAATGGTATAATGATCCTCCCTTGTACTCGTCACTCAGCTTCAATATTTAGCAACTCGGCCAATCTGAAGCAAGTAAGAGACATATCATTTCAACATAAATAGTTCAGCATTTCTAAGAGAGAGGAACTTTTTAAAAACATAGTTAAAATATCATCAATGTTAATCAATTATCAGTAATTATGTCACTTAAGTCAGAATTCAGATTTATGATTATCTCATAAATACATATTTTTTATACTTGCCCTGTTAGAGTCAGAATCCAACGAGGCCCATATATCACATGTGATTGATATGTCTCTTAAATTGTGAGATGTGTTTTGAAGAAGGAGTTGACAAGATGTTCATGGATTGGGTGTAGGGGTCAGGAGGAAAATGGATGAATTCAAGATGATCAGGCCTGCCTCTGCTTGAAGTGGGGATAGATGACTCTAGAGTTTCCCTACGGTTCTTTGAAATGCTTCTATGATGGCCTGTAGAAGCACAGGGGCACAGAGAATCATCTGTCCTATGTCCTTGATCTTAATCAGTTCAATGTCCAATGAATCAGAAAGGAGGAGAACCCCGAAGTTAGACACAGGACATGTAGACTTCAGATCCAGGTCCAGCTCTGGAACCTTTTCAAGTCTCCGAGCCTCTCTGTATATCTGTAACATGGCAATGGTCATATCTACTATTTTGAGGCCCAACTCACAATATATGTGACATTTCTTTACAAAGTATAAAGCTGTGCTGTCCAATATTATAACCACTAACCACATGTAGCCACCAAGCCTTGAAATATGGCTTGTCTGAAATGAGATATACTGTAATTGTAAAGTACACATGGATTTCAAAAACTAGGTATGAGAAAAATGATCTAAACTATCTTATTAATGGGGTGCCTGGGTAGCTCAGTCAGTTAAGCATCTGACTCTCGATATCAATTCAGGTCTTGATCTCACGGTTTTAATTTCAAGCCCCATGTTGGGCTCCACACTGGGTATGGAGCCTACTTAAAAAAAATCTCATTAATATTTTTTACTTCAATGTCAAAATGACAATATTTATGATATATTTTGTTATATAAAATGTTATTAAAATTAATGTCACCAATTTCTTTTGCTTTTATAATGTAGCTACTAGAAAAGTTAAAATAATGTAGTAGCTCACGTATTTCTTTTTTTGAAAAAAAATTTTGGGGGTGCCTGCGTGGTTCAGTTGGTTAAGTGTCCAACTTCAGCTCAGGTCATGATCTCACGGTTTGTGAGTTGGAGCCCTGTGTCGGGCTCTGTGCTGACAGCTCAGAGCCTGGAGCCTGCTTCGGATTCTGTGTCTCCTCTCTCTGTCCCTCCACCCCTTGTGCTCTGTCTCTCAAAAAGAAATCAACATAAAATTTTTTTTAATGTTTATTCATTTTTGAGAGAAAGAGAGAGACAGACCGTGAACGAGGAGGGGCACAGAGTGAGGGAGACACAGAATCCAAAGCAGGTTATGGACTCCGAGCTGTCAGCACAGAACTCGATGCAGGGCTCGAACTCACGAACCATGAGATCATGACCTGAGCCAAAGTCGGACGCTTAACTGACTGAACCACCCAGGTGCCCCAGTAGCTCACATATTTCTATTGGATAGCACAAATACAAAATACTTTGCAAGTGGGTTGGGAAACGAGGTTTGTACTTTCCTTTATGAGCATTGTACATAGACTCTAATCACCTCACATCATCCCCAAGAGGTAAGTAAGGTGGGATGGGCTTATCTCCCTGTAATGAAAAGGAAACCATGGCTTGAATGGATGAAGAGGCATGTCCAGAGTCACACAGCAAGTCATTAGCAGAGTTGAGACTGGAATCCAAGTTTCTCAAAAGCTAGCCAATTCATACTGCCTTTATCATACTGCTCCCTACAGTCTAGTTCATTCTTCTCATGGTGGATGATTTTATGATATCTGGTGTTATTGGGTTCTCTGGCTCATGCTCCCTCCCTCTGATTTCCTCCCATTCCTGTTGTGCCTCAGAGGACTTCCTCTACTACGGTTTCATCCCATTCCCTTTTGTTCCATAAAAGAAAGAGAGAATGACTGACAAGAATGCACAGTGATAAACTGCAATACCATTTCAAGCTCAGCATTTCTGGGGTTTCACTGTGTAGACTGCAAAATAGAAACCTCAGTTGACTGTAAAGACATCCAAGCTGGAAAATACCTCCCTTCATGTGGCACAGAATATTTTCAGAGAGTGGAAGTCAAGAACCCAGAGTTCTCAGCCCACTTTGGCATGGATTTGATGTAAGACCCTGGGCAAATCATTCTTTCTTCTAATATGTCTGCCTAATGGGAACATTTGCAGGCACCTTATGTGCCTTCTGACAGAATGGTTGTAAGAAGAAAGATGGTAACGTGTTTGAGATGCTCTAGGCTTTCCAGAGGAAACACACTTCTCAAATCCAAAGCCTGCACATCAGCTTTCAATTATCTACAGTCACTGAGAAACATGGCAGCACTGAGGATGCAAATCTCTAGGGAATTCAAAAATGTTTTCTTTAAGCATTTGTTTCCTTTCCATCCAAACCCAAATCTTTGCAAGAGCTGCTGACAAATGGCCAACCTGACAAATGTATGTGTCACCTACTTTGTCTTGTCCCCTCTGGCAGGATCAAACATCCCTGATTTTCTGGCTCAGTCCCAGCTTCACACATTTTGCCATGTTGTCCCCAGCAGTTGTGGGCACAGGTACTCTCATGGAGAGCATCAGAGAGAATCTGATGCCCTGTGCCCTGTGTCCAGGGGACCAGCAAACACAGGGTAAGGCAGAATGGAAGAGATAAGTGGTGGGGGGGGGGGAGTGGGGGGAAAGAAAAGAGGAAACTGTCAAATCCTGAGGAACCTATTGAGTAGATCTGAGGCAACTACTGGACACGTGGGGTGCTCCTTCAACTGAGCACCAGGCTTTCCAGGCCCTTCAGGTAGGTCCTTTGGAGGAGGGGCCCCCGCTTGACAGACTTAAGCTGGGCCTTGGGCCCTGGTGCCCTGAGAGCCATAGCAGCCCTGAGACCTGCACAGGGTTTAGAAAGACATTTGACATTTCCGACCCCTCATGTTTCCAATCTCAAGTGACCCTTGCCGTGCTGAGCAGAATGGATTTCTGTAGTTTGGCTTCCAAAATGTTACCACAGATCACTCCCCGCCCCTCCCCCATGGCCTCATTCCCCCTCAACTATGTGCTTCAGCCTCCCCCCTGCCTTTCCTAGTTAGAGAAGCTGCCCTGGTTGTGGAGGTGGGTCTAGCCATGTCCACCGCTTTGGCTGGGACCGAGGGGAGCCTGCTTGGTCTTGAGGGGAGAAGCTCGAGAGGAGGATGACTATACGGTGGCCTGCCTCTCTGATGAGCCTGCCTCTGAGGGCCCGTGGCCAAAGTGGCCTTCACTGGGCCTGGGGGCTGACACCCCCTGCTTCTGGCCTAGTGTTTGAAGCTTGTCTTTTTCTTGCACCGCCCTCCTCTCCCCTGCCTCAGTGACTATGGCACCCCCCACTTACTGCAGGCCACATGACTGACGTTGAGTTTTTGCAGAGCCACTAACAACCTTGAACCAAAAATGAACAGCTAAGCCAGTGCTCTAGTGAGGTTTTCCTGGACATTGGTAAGAAGAGGTATGGGAGCAGTGGATGCAGGACAGCTTATGACAAGGACTGACTGTGAGAGGGTTGGGGCCCAGGACATCTTTCTAGAACAGCTTGTTCAGCAGGGCCCTGTATGGTACCTCCTGTACTGGGAGACAAGCTAAGCCTACATCCCAATATCTTGCCAAGTCATGTATGGTTTATTGGCTTTAACCACCACCACCCCCCGCCACACACACACACACACACACACACACACACACACACAAGTTTCTTTGATTTTGTCCTTTTTATTTTTTTTTATTTTTTTTTTATTTTTTTTTTTAAATATTCTTTT